CGTGCCACGCATGTGGCAATCTCAGTCAGAGCGCGAGGTTAGGTTAATCCGTGACGTGACACCTCGCGTCTCTAGATCTTCGTGATTCAGTTTGCGGCTGGTCGTCGTGGCGTCGACTCGTACACTCAGAGGGCAGTTTTCGACGGTCATCATTTTCCACTGATGCTGGGACCTCGAAGTCCTGTGAGGAAGCGCATACTCGTGGGATGTCCCCTACAACTTGCGACATCAATGATCTCGGTCTAAATCATGCTTGCGAATGCTGCAGCGACAATTCTGACCCTGATACCTCCAAGCTTGGAAGGACACTTATGGTTTGATCTTGATATCTAAAGGAGAATGGATGAGTTCTGGCGTTCCATTTCGACTGGTAAGCTGGAACAAGCCTCTTGATCTGGATCACCGTTCATGGTCCCGCAGATCACCGCGTCCTTCACAGTATACGTCCCCGGTTGCTCCCCCCGGCTGTTCGGCCTGACTTGAACTTCAAACGAGTAAGTATGGTATCTCCTCAGCGTAACGTTCTTTATTCTGGTCGCACGTTGTGCTTCTATTGAATGAGGTAGTTGCCCCTATCCGGCCACTTCGATTGCCTCGTTCTCGCTCCCTTGAAAAAATGGACTGGAATTGCTTCGAGCTTGCGAAACCCGACGGCTGTCGATTACCATGGAGTTGTTGTCGGACACGTCTTGATCTGTGGTCGCCGCGATGGCCAGGATCCTCTGTATGTTCAACATCAGTGATGGAACATGTGGGAGGAGCTTGGATGATACAGTAAGCTATTCCGACCTCGAGCGCCTGGTGTCGTTCGCCTACCCGAGAGCCGACTACGAGGCGATCCGAGTCATTTGCGACTGGCACAATACTATCTTGCTTCCCCAAGCTGGATTTCTCCGAAACCACCCCCACCGCCCCAAATCCACCCTGAACTCCCCCCACGCTTGCTCACCTGCAACCCCTCCGCCCTCAATGCGCCCGCCTGGTCGCGGGCGCTCGACGGGCCACTTGAGGAGATGTGCATGCGTCCACGATGACGGACCGGAAGTGATTGGCGGCATTGTGGGCTGATACCACGTAGACTCCTTTACCTATACGACTTTAGATGATCTTGTGCATCATCCCAGAGTATCCACCTTGCGCACCCTGGCGCCGTAATTCTTAGCTATATCATTCAAATCCTTGCTGACGTGCTGCCCGGCATTGCCCCACGTAATGCTGTGGTCTGCGAATTGTACGAAGAAGCGATCGCCATGGGTCGTGCTAAGCGAGATATACTACCGCGCTCGACGTCAGAAGAATCGTTTGTACAACGGCCGATGCTTACTCACTCGGACGTGGAGGTCCTTGTTGATGGCAGCGGTCAAGGTATTGGCCAACTTATCGCCACATGCATGATAACGGATTGCCTGGAGTAGTTCGGAGGGGTTGCTAGACGCATGAACCAGGGCTCCACTGACTTACGTTGTCCTTGTATAGCATGACTGTGGCGTGGCCCGTGCCGACTAAGAGCCTGAAGTCTGCGCCGTGGGCCGCCTTCATCTTGTTGATCCACGCAATTTGATCCGCCGCGAGGCCCCAGTAGTGCCAACCATAGGTCTTGCTCGACCAGCTGCACGCACCCCCAGGACCGAATGTCACGCCGTACGTCTGGGTGACACGGGCCTTTAGGTGCTCAGCGAGCCCGGCAAGGTCGCCGGTATTCCAGTCTGCGCATCGACCCCGATGATCAGCCGGGCTGTTTTCGGAAAGCGCAAAAGACGTACAGACGTGCCAGCCGGTGTTGTCCTTGTTCTTGCCCCCGACGAACCACTGCCCGGATGGGCCAATGGCGGCAAACTGATGGGCGTGTTGAGCTCTGCATCGAGCTTGCCACGCATCCCGACAGGGATCTGGGCACCTTTGCGCGTGGACGACCCAGCAGCTATGAAGAAGGACTCGTTCGTAGGACCAAAGGCGACGACAAAGTTGATCATCGTGGGCCTGACAGGCTTGCTTGATCTTCTGGGCGCCAGCTTTATAGTGCCACTAGGCGAGCGCTGGCGCCCAAATCAATCGATAGCATAGATAGAGCTCATCAGTCGCTACACGTTCCATTCTACGAAGCCGCGAGTGGACAGCAAGTAGGCGATATGGCGGGCAGGAGACATCGAGATCTGTTCCAACGACTATTAAGAGACAGCGCCTAGTGGTGACAGGTTTGCATCGCTTGAGTGGAAGGACCTGATATACCTGAAAATAGTGAACGGTCGTTCGACTTTCATATGAGGTCCCGCTTGTACACACCTGAGTCGCCGTGACTTTACATTCTGCGCCAGAATCACTATTCACTCCAGAATACAATGAACAACTGTACAGTAGCATCCAAAACAGACAAACAACTTGTGGCAGTTTACTCAGAGTCAATTCTCCTAAAGGAAAAGTCTGGAAAGAGAGGAATATCAGTGACTTTGTATTGAATCTGATACAGCGCAAGGGACTAGTACTTGGCGCGACGCAAAAATGTACCCATGTTCCTCGATGTGTAGGCGCTTAAATTGGGGTTCGATACGTTAGAGCCGCAGGTTTTATACAGTGTCGGTGCGCGGTATAGGTATGGGTTTACCCGTCCGGGAATGGGAAATGCATTGACGCTTTTGCGCCCCGCGCTGGGACAACACCGACACTTATGTCCGGCAGGGATAGACTACTCATGTCAGTAGTACCAAAATCGAGAAAGGACTAGAAGAACACAGTTGTCCTGACCTTCGACGCTCTCGACGGAGGACCTGCGGCGCTGGCATAACGACAACGGCTTGGCTATCAGCAAGACACAAATCAAATATCTACCGCAACGGGGATACAAGGTAGCGAGGCCGACGAGAAGAGACGCAAAAGATACTTACGTCAAGGAGCAGCCAGGGTTAACCGGCATTCGAGTTCCAAGCCGGGCTTCGATGTTCCGTGCCGGAGGTGGGCGGGAGGTCTGACCAGGGAGGCCTCCTAGACCATCTGTGAGTCACTGTAAGTTCTTCCCAGGGGGCGGTGACGCTAATAATCCGAAGGCTACCCATGCACCAGCGGAAATGCCTGCACCGGGGCGTGCGGCGCTGAGGAAACTGCTTGTGGGCGTCTTCGTACGTGAGCTAGAGGTGTATCTCGAGATGTGAGACCTGCAGAGGCTAACTTTCGCAGGGTAACGTATGTTGCAGGAGGAGCTAGGTGTTTAGTAGACTCCTGAAGACATTGGATATGGGATTCGGCAAAAGCGGGTCTCCTACGTCGGATACTGCAGTCTGCTCTTGGTTGAGGGTTAAGTGCTAGCCTGGTTGGACACAAAATCTTTGTGCTCATGAGTCTGCTACCTCTGTCAGAGATCGGACGCCGATGCAGCAGTGGAAGTTGGTTGCTCACGCTGCGTACTTATGCTGCTTGTCCAGGCCAAATCGCGTTCAATTTAATTTATAAAGCTCATGACATAGCACATTAGCTTGGGATTAACCGCGGGACTGTTCATCCCCGCCGCCTCAATCCAGCAAGCTGCAGTGGGTATACCGTATAGCGCGCCGTACGAATGGTGTGGCGCAAAGGCAAAGGTGACGCGTGATGGTGACACCGTGTGTGAGCGTCCGGTTCACTAGACCACCGAGATCACCGAGGAACGTGCTTTCGGGCCGTGTGGCTGCCGAGATGGCTGAAAGAGAGTACGAGTAAAACAGGCACCTGGAGTGCCCTCTTTATTTTCTATCTTAATCTATTCATCCTGTAGACCTCGCTAGAGGTATAAAAGAGCTTGTACAAGTCGTTGTACTGCAGAGCTCGCTCAATCTCATAACTTTACACCTGTCTTGTCTTGTCTTGGGCGTCTACTCTCCGTGTGCCGACACCGCGACTTCAGTCACGCTATCGTCACACCGTGACATCCCGACATCGATAACTGCGTCGACGGATGTCTCCTAGATTCTTCGTCTTGCTCTCATCTACCCTTGAGTCCTTCAATGAGGTGCTCTCCCCTTCCTCTAGAGGCACTGAGAAGTACATCGGTTGCGTGTTTGGTACATCGTCCCATTCAATCATCTTAGCCGTCAATGTACCGGTTCAGTTGTTAATCGCACACATTCGCCGACGCCGTTAGAAGCGGAACTCTCCTCCCTCGAAAGCTACGTGATAGACAGCCTCCCGTCTTGAAATGCCTTTCACATAGTCATCAACCGTGATCCCTACTTGCGTCTTCGTGAATACCGGACGTATGTCTCTCCTCGATGTTAAATCGCTGTTACAAGCTTCTTCACCAATGGATGAGATCGCTGCCCGGGACTTGCGAGGAGCAGGCGGCATGTACGCTGGGATGTTGTAGCATGATATGCTCGATCTCCGTGTACATGCCTCCTCGTCGTCGTAGCCCCTGCCGTGTTCTCGCTGAGCATGGCGAAATCGGAGAAGGTAGAGCATGGGAAGATGCAAGCTGAGTCTTTCGACTAACATCTTTTCTATTGAACCGAAAGTCCCCTCCTTTTTTCGGATGTCGAGGCTGAGGGTAGTCTAGAAACGGTGTCATATGCATTCACGAATACGTACCTTGTGCGATAATCCGTTACGCATGCCTTGAGCACCTTGCAATTTAATCGCCACTATGTTTCTGGAGCGACCGTTTCTTCGCTTCCATGGATTGATTGCCTAGCCATGGACACCTCAGGTAAGCTAATCCTGCTATTGTCGGCTGGCGTACTTCGACCGATGCAGTTATTCGTGTCTCGCACGCGGAGCGTGTATCGATATTAAGACTAATGCATATTGTATATGCTGTGTCCTCGTAAGTTCATCCATTCCCCGCCACGTATAATGGCTGGCGCCGCCGTGCAGAGCTGTGCTCGATAAAGCCACAAATCGACGAGACGCGATGAACAGTGATTACTTTCTTTATGCGGTGCGTACAATCGAAGTCGCCTCTCCGTCCACTTCTCCTCCCCTCACTACCATTCGTAGGCGCCATCCCCGCGCCCTCAAGTCTAAAGCCCTCCCAATCGCATGAATACAAACGAGAACTGAAACGTACAACAGGTTCGGAAGAAACGAAGGTGAATAAACACTGGACGGAATTGGCGACGTCCGATCAAAATCAACGAAAGTAATCCTCCCAACTTGAGTGTACCACAAAACCAACCCCCATGTTGTGCCCCGGCAGAAAAACCGAAATTCGTAAACGTCGTCAAGTCTCCCCCTTCCTTTTCTCTCGTCTTATGACGAAGCCACAGCCCAGAATGAGGGTACTGTGGTTAGGGTTCTATTCATGGACCGGTCAACAAATAATGAATGGAGCTTGAGACTCGGCCGAGGGAGGCGCTCACGAGAGGGGGGCTGGACGGATAAGTGATGCTTCTAAGTAGCAAAAGATATTAAATGCAACAGTATATATGATCATAGAACTCATGCTAGTTCCCCCGAAATGTTCAATCATCAAAGGGGTTTACAACATTACCACTGGGCACCTTGTCGAGAATGAGCCGGACGGGATGCCTGTGATGGAAGTCCAGCGACTGCGGGGGTAAATTAACTTTGTACTCAAGGTCAAAATCAACGACTCGCAATCCATAGGACCGGTGACTGGAGGGCGACACCAGCGACGGGAGGCCGGGAGGTGAGTCCGGAGCCAACAAGACATTGTCATACCGAAGGTCTTTAGCAAAGATGTGTAACTCCCCGAAATCCTTGGTGATGCTCCATAAATCGTCCTGCACGGTCTGTGGGACAGGCTCCCCCAGAGGCGAATACCCCCCGACGCGCTCCAGGAACAGAATCGACGTTGGAAGCTTTGTCGTGGCCACACGGTCCCAGCCGAGGACCTTCGTGTGCGGAGGGATCTCAGAGAGAAAATAACCATAGCAGCCTTGTACATCCATGCCTTTTTGAAGAGGTTGTCACAGAAATCGCGGTTCGCGACTTTGACGACGAAGGGCGGTATATCGACAGGTACAGAGCAGGACCGCACGTCAGCGATGTGAACGGTCCCGACGCGTCCCTGGCCGAGCTGACTTGCAACAGTGATGTCGAGGACGGCATCTCCAGGTTCAGGGAGAGAAGAGAAGATGGAGGCCGGGCTGGCATTTCCGGGGGAATTCGTACTGACTGTGAAGGATCATAGAAACGGAGACCGTCCTGGCCCTCTGGGGGTGTCCGAATCAGGTGGAGCTTCATAGGGCTTCCAGCCTTGTCTTCCACAAGGTCGCGCAGTATGACAGCGGTCGCAATATTTGCCGCCTACGACGTTGACTAGTTTATACTTGTATGGGATGGTGAGAACGAAGGCGTACCAACGACGGTAAAGACGATAGAAGGGCCATCTTGGAAGGACTTTGTCTTGGAGGCGGGCGCACGATATGTTACAATAAGAGGCGGTGCTTGGTCCTTTATGCAGACGGTCGAGATCGCATACAGCCGTTTGCAGATTGATGGGCCCACTTTTCAAAAATCATTTACAGTCGGACCACGACGGACAAGCAATTGTAAGTCCCCGAGAGACGGAAATCAGACCATTTGGACTTCCCCACCTTCTTCCGACGTCCCTGGCACCCACTCCGACCCACTCCGACTATACGCGATTTTCTGAATTGGTGGTCTATCGATCTGCAAAAGGCTGTAACGGTGACTCTCGGGGATTTGTTCGGTCGTCGCTGACGTGATGCAGTTTCCTGATTGGCTCACAAGACTTCGCCCCGACATGTGCGATAGCTCCTGCGACTGAGGCAAATACCTCTTTGGAGAAGGTAGACGGTGGGCACTAGTGAGACAGTGTCCATCTGTGCAGTGTGTACGAGGTGACGTACTCCTACAAAATGGATTATCGTTCTCTGGCATTTAGTATACATTTCAGGCCCAGTAGAATACTTTCCTTCAATAAATAGAGCCTAACAGTAATGCCGCGTCCCTCTTGGACTTCTTTACCCACTTAAGTATGGTGAGTTCTGAGAGTATCTCTACAATGAGCTCCGAGCCTTTCGCATGAGCGTTCTGTATGAGGCAGTCATAGTGCAGCATGTGCTTAAACAATCTGAATATGTAGGACTTTATAGATTTCCATTCTTCATCGAACTGATTAGGAATGTGTAGATAAAGATGCGCGAGCAAGTACCTTTCTTTGTGAGCTCACGCGGTGCTCCCACCACGGGGTCTCGAGTAAACAAGTCTTGACAGGCTGCGGCCATTGTTGTAACTTCGCGGTAGCCCTTCTTGCGCATTTTACTCACGATACTGTTAAAAAAGGTGAGGCTTTAGCCACAATCCCTCAGAGAACCAGAGTCCTTGTCATCGGACTTACCGCTCTTGCCTTTGCGCAATCCAATATTTCCTAGCCCACTTATATAGCTTCATCCCCTCCTAAGGTAATGTCAATATTTGAATGGCTTAGATAGATGTGAACGCACCATCTGTCTGATGGCGTTCCGATGAGCAAGGCGTTTGAATGTAGTCTCCAACCGCTCTGAGCTTTTAGAAGCCTTCCACAACCGTTTGCCCACATCTTGGACATGCGACACCATGTAGTATTCTCCCTCATATACGCCTACAGACCTCATGATGAGGGATCTCACAAATGGGATACATAGCAACGTACCGTCGTTTATTACTAGTCTCGAAATTATATCGGCTGGATTTCCGCCCCAAACAAATACCTGTGAAGGAAATACTCCGGTTGATACTCCAATATCCTCTTCCCTGATACAGCTGTAGGAATCCGAGCTGTCAGGCTCTCACTTGGAGGAGGAGGACTCAAGACATACGCACCACTTGGCCAGACAATCATCGCAAACACGGCATAGCCAAAACCAGTGAATTATCTCGTTGTGAACCCGAGCATTGCAATACTATTCAAGGGATGACACGGGCGCTTAGAGTAACGTGAGCACCAGAAAGGACACTTTCACATACTGTGCAGCGGAGCTCAAAGACCAGCCGTACCCATTGTGGCTCGTTAAGCCCTTGAGGGCAAGGCGGTAGTTGCAAAGAGGATTTACCTGCCTCTTCTAAGGATCGTGCCCAGAGGTCTCTTCTCCCGCGGGTCATCAAGGCGTTCCGCAGAAAGCGAGTAACTCGCGACATGTGAAGGAGCGTTAAAGGGTCTGCGTGCTCCAGTATCTATGAGACAGATGGGCCCTGATCCATAGCTGTGGTCCAAAAGCTCCGACTCACGTTGTATACCGTTTCTAGTGGCAAATCGATGAACGTCTTCCACCGCTGGTGGGACGTTTTGGGAGGCATGACCCGTTGCCCATCCGAGATCGTCACCCTGTCTGGAGTGCGCAGCTTGTTAGGACTAACAGTGTAGCTCCCTTCTTTCACATCATATGTGGCCGGAAATATCGGTTGTTGCGGTTTATCATTCCTTCGCAATGAGTTTTCTATGCCACCGAATTGGGACTCGTGAGATACAGCTGACCCGGCTCCCATGGGGTTAGATTGATTTTCTTCATTGAAGCTTGCCCAAGTAATGTCACCGAGACGACTACGTTCAGCACGGGTGCCTGGAGAGCTGTTGTGGCTGTCTTGAGCCGCGACGTCGACCATGGGAGTATCGGAGGCAGCAGCTGGAGAAGGCCACCTAGTGGTAGGTATCAAAAGCGCAGAGTGAGGTGTCGAATGGGGCATAGCGATGGGTTCAAGAGGAGAGATGGAGTTGCGACAAGAGTCAAGCAACAGTCCAAGTGCTAGCGTTCACGTGGTGTTTCCCAGGGTGTGGCATTTGTGCCCAATATGGGAATCAACAGCAGCTGTTTGCACGTGCTTGATCGCGGTGCCAAGGAGGGCTGGCCCCCAATGTTGCGGCTGATACTGACGGTTCGTGTGGCTCGCGTTCGTCGCCGCTCAAATATTCATATTATCATGATAGCTTCTTCCCTCACTCGAATTTGGGCTTCAAGTCAGGCTTGTCTCGTCGCTCGTAGCTCCCCTAGCTTCCGCGAACAATGAAACGGTGCAGGAGCAAGCCGCTGTCGACCACGGCGACATGCAGAATAGGGCGGAGGGTTAGTGCATATGTCCCAATGTGATGGGTGAAATAGAGCGTCTCGAACATTATCTTTATGGCTTTATTGATTCTCTATCCTATCACTCGGACTACACGCTCGTTCTGTAGCAAATAGTCTCGGTGTCTCTCGCTATTTTCTCGCTGTATTCAGCCGAACACGTTCCATTCCACTCGCTTGTAGCAGCTGTACTGTCCGTACTCTCGAATCTAGTCTGCATAGAATCACAGTTGGTTTGCAGTATGTTTCGACCGCGAAGCGATGGCTCGCATACGCCTACTTCCCTTTTCTCAACCAGGGTTATGATACCCTCTAAATTGCACCCTACCCTCAGAGTGAGCTGTAGAGGCGCCTTGCATAGTCAAACTGACATATCTGCAAGCCACAGAGGCACCCGCGCCCCACGCAAGCCCGCCACTCGACAACTTGTCAAGAAAGTTACGAGCGCCTCTTCTTCACGGCGCACACCCTTCTTCCCCACCAAAATCTTCGCCCCAACCCCGAGCCCGTTCCCATGTCCTCGCCGTAGTCAGGATCTTTCCAGGTACGATAAAGCGAGCCGAAGCGGTGATCTTTGTTGGGGGGAGTCGAGCTGATGAAAGAGACGTTTGCAAGACCACAACGCCCGTCGTCCCTTCTCTTCGCTTGTCAGCCTGCTACAAATGGACCCAGACCAAAAGACGCACCACTCTCCCCACCAAATGAACATTTAGGCGGGATAGTCGCAGGCTACATCCCATAACTTTCGACTTCGTTGCACTGCAAACATGCTGGAGCACGCACCTTCAGATTTCCCTCTGACCTACAGCCTCGAGCGCACTGTTCCAGGCCGCAACTTGAGGCGCAGGGCGTCAGTCGGCCTTACGGTGTGACCCACGCAACAATCGCCAGATGTTTTACAGTAGCGTCTGACAGGCAAACAGCCTTAGCTTTCCAACCCCCCCCCCCTCCTTCCCGGTCCAGACCCTATACTTGCTTACCTGCCCGGAAGCTAGCTTGAGCACATACGACTAATTCAGCGGTTGTGCGTACGGGCCTGGCTGTCTCCGGTACGAACGTCGAGCGTCGAACGTCGAGGCCAGAAGTAAAACGGTGCGAACGGCGCAGAGATGACGCGCCGTCTCATCACCCCCTTCACCGGGGACAAAGGCAAATGTTCTGTCGCGAGACATCGGGCTCTGACGCAATCAGTGGGAGAAAATCCTCTTACGATGTACCGAGAGCCATTTATACATGTTAAGAAAATGTTCTCCCCCGTCCTTACGTTCTCCTTGCATGACCGCCACCGAACATCGAGCCTTGTCTCCAGTGGTTGATTGAGAATCGAATGTTAGACTCCACGAATGGTGTTAGCCTGCTTGAGGGGGCTGAGCTCCCGGAAGTCGAGTGCAGGAGCGTACAAGTCTCAGGATCGCGAGTAGCCGTATCCATGTCCGCGCAGAAGGGCACACGTATGAGAGTGCCTAGAGCGGAGGTAAGGGGGAGGGAGGAAAGGAAGAAGCGCGAATGGGATGTGCGCTAGGCTGGGGTTCAGCCGGTCTTCAAGTGACTCTGCCTCATTCACTTGAATGACCGGCTGGCCCCAGCCTAGATGTGCGCGTACGCGTGGACATGGACGCCCACCTTGCATCCTCTGCTCCACCCCTTCTGACGCGCACTCGGGGAGGTGTCGAAAGTGGTTTCGGCAGGTGGAGGGGTGCGATGGAACAGGCGTTAGGAGCGGATGGGATGTGCGCATCCGTGTATTAAGGATGCGTACCTTCCACCCCCTCCTCCACCCTCCCGAGGGGCACTGACAGAGGAAGTCTTTGGGTGGTTGGAGAGGGGGGAGGGAAAGAGGGAATATGAGATTACAAAGACAGCACAGTTCGAGGGAGAGAGTGCATCCAGCAATAAGACAACACCAAATAGAGACAAAAGACGTACAGTACTAGCAAACCAGCCTCACAAACTTATCTCACGATCCGCTCTCCCCCTGCTCCCCCTCCATGCCCCCCACGCTCGGAAACCAGCCCCACCGTCCCAAATCCACCCTGAGCTCCCCTCCGCGCTCGTCCACTTCCACCCCCTCCGCCCTCAACGCGTCCGCCTGGTCGCGAGCGCCCGATGTGCCCGGACCGCGCGAGGAGATGGTGCCCGATGAGGACAGGACGCGGTGCCAGGGAACGGGCGGGTTGACGGCAGGGGAGAGAAATTTCAGGGCTTGTCGGATGGGTTAAGGGCGTGGAGGAGGGGGAAAAGAGGAGACAGACCTTGTCCGACCTGTCGCGCGTGTCGGGGCATGCCTATTATCTTTGCGATGTGGCCTGGTTCAAGGAACTTCTTCAATGGTGCTGCGTAGGCTTGGTAATATCGTAGAGGGAGGCCCACCGTAACTTGTGACGCGCTGTGGCGGGATCCGGCGGACGACGTCGTAAACCTGCGTGCGTGCAGTCAGATAGAGCAATCAGTGAAGGGAGCTACGACGCACCGCTGCGTGAAACTCTGCGCTGTCCATCCCAACCTGCGTCGTCGAGCTCGAGTCGACTCAGTGAGTAGTAAAGCTCTGCATGCGTTTTGCTGACGTAATTCACTGCAGGCTCCTGATTGGGCCATCACGCTTGAACCTGTTGAGTTATGAAGACACTCTTTTTCCTGATGCCGATAAACACAGTCTCCTCTTCACCGGAGTAGAGTGTCACTCTTCATCCCCGAAAGTCGAGCAGAGGTAGGGGAAGACATCAATGACAAAAGATAGTGTCAGCATCGTCACTTCCGAGTCCTTCAACGGCACTGGTTTCTCCTTCCGAGTCGTCATCACTAGTTGTCGTTCCTGTCTTCAACGCCGTTGCCGTGATCCTCGGCTCTCCCCGTCTGGGAGAACTGCTCCTCCTCAATGTGGCGAAGGGCTCCGAGCCTGACGAGCCACACTCAGTCAGGATTGGCTTTGGAAAATACCGGACTCCCGTTGCCCCATATGTCCCTCAGCCCCATCCTCGTCCCGTACGGCCCACATTATAGTGGCAGGTAACCCTCGCATCTGCTTTCCTGCTTCACTAATATGCGCATGTTCGTTTACAAATGTAAGCAAGTCTCGGTAAAAACTCGACAGGACTCTGGCGAGAATACGGACTCTGATCAAGTTCATCACGTCAACGTTGATCTATCCAGTGCCGAACAAAGTGCCCTTGCTGCATTTTAAGCACGTCTAGACTCTCGCACCGTCTGTAAAATGTGCGTGAAGTCGGGTGCCAGAAGATACAGAACACTTCGCTGCCTCTGCAATGGAGCTCAAGTTGCCTGATCTCGAATATATCTGCCCGTTCCCTCTACTATGTAATCCTCTATACGAGGCCGCGCGCGGCGAGTCATCTGCCTGGGTCGAGACATTTGCGCATTATGCAGACAACCCGCGCAAGAGAGCATTCCTGCGCTCTTCCGACCTCAAACGCATGGCATCCTTCGCTTACCCAATAGCCGACTATGAGGCGTTGCGGGTCATTTGCGACTGGTTCAATGGTATCTTCGTGGTCGATGAGCTTACAGATGACCAGACCGAAGAAGAAGCAGCGAAAACGATGCGGGCCCACTTGGATGGTCTTTTCGGAAGCGTCGGTGACCAGTCGATCGTATATGATATGTATAAAGAGTGAGTACTAGTGAGTCACGCAAACTAACGCCATTACGGTTATGACACCTTTGATTCATGATAGTATAGGATCCCGACTGAGGAGACTGTTTGGTGGCAATGCGTTCAAGCGTTTCCTGACGAGCAGCGCAAGATATTCCCAGCAAGTTGCAAGAGAGGCAAAGCTACGACAGGAGGACAAAGTCTTGTCGTTCGACGAATACACCATCTTCCGCGGTCCACGAGCGGTGCTCATATCTGTTTGGACTTCATCGAAATGGTCTTTCGCTTTGAGCTTTCGGACGCGGTTCTCAACGATAAGGTGTTCGAGAGAATGCATGATAACGTGGCCTGGACGAACGTGAGTCCTTCCCTATCGAGGGATGCACTTTTGGCGGTAACAGAAAGTATTGGCAGGATATCCACTCTTACGCCATTAGAATACGGCACGGGGCATAAGAACGCCAACGTCCTCACCGTCGTCATGCGCGAGAAAGGCGTCGACCTGCAAACGGCGTCCGACAATTCGAAACAGTATACACGTCCCCAATATCCATATTCCTGGCAGACAAGACTGCCTTGCTTAGTCGCCCGTGGGACGAGGCAACCATGGCTCACCTGCGCCAGCCTACCTCTGCCGTAGAGTGCTGGCTCAGCGGCATCATGGTACTTCGGCGGAGATAACGGAAATGTAGCACACAGTTTGACTGTGAAGATCACATAGATAATTTAGAGGCGCCTTTATATACTTATAGAGCGGATGAGTCAGACACGGGATATGGATTGTTTCGCTTAGTATGTAGCGGCTTCTGGTGCTTAGTAGATGTACGACTATAATATAGCTTCGGTAGGGTTGAAGGACGGTGCACCTATGGAACGGTTCGTGCTTAGGGTCACGGGGTGTTCCGTATGTAGCTCCTGCTGTCGTGAAGTCGTGCGGGGTTTTGGCGCGGGAAGACGTCTCTATATCGGAGCAACGGACTGCAGGTGGGAAGCATCTGGCGGTGCCTAGCTCAAATGTCAACGCTTATTCGGATGAGCAATTATGTGCCAGGACATGCTACTGGCCTATTGGGAGAAAGACTCAGTTCGACTTGCGGCCCTTACCAGATGTGAGTGACCTGCTGTGGGGCTACCATGGTAGCTAACCACATGCAGTGGGTATCAGTCCGGCCGGACATCCTCAGGGCCCGAGTATAGCAAGGCGTCCCTAATCTAGTGGAGCTATAACTGAACAGCGGACTTAGTACTTACATGGCTAGACTTCCGAGACTTCGAGAGAAACAGTTCACCTCGACGCCAGCAGTCGCGTTTGTGACGACGAATCCACGAGAGCCTGGGAAAAAATCGTAATCGCAATCGCCAGATGAGAGTCTTCCCTGTTCCTTTGGCTGGTATTCCTCCCGCTAGCGGGTCACGGATGACGTGGGCATGTTGGATTACGGGAGGAAGAGTGGAGGGCTTCCCGCCGCGAACGGTCCCCCTAGCGGGAGTTCGAATATCGCGGCGAATCGAGAGCTCACAGAATCAGCAATCCCGACGACGCGAACCTGTGAAGCCGAAATTTCTCATATGCTAGGAGTCGGCAGACTTAGCTAAATCAACAGAGGTTGGGAAGATAGGCAGCGGAATGGTGTTATGCACTTTTGGGATGTCGAAAAGGCCAGTGTATCCGAGGCGGGCATAGCCTAGGCAGGCGGTGGTGCAAGCTTCGTCGAGTCGACTCACTCGAGTCAAAGTTGAGTACAGCTTGACTTCAAGGCCGTGACCGCTTTGCCACAGCAGCACGTGTACCCCACGTGGCTCCGTCAAGTTGTGATTACACCCACGTCTTCGGGCTGAAAACCGGTCAGACTTAGACGCGAGAGGAGAATTCTGGCGTATATTCGACGAAGTACAGCTAAATAAATACAGTAACTGAGACAATATGACGTAGACCTAAAGCGGAAGTAATCGACATAATGAAATCATATGTTTCGGAAAATGTCTGTGGAATAACTAAGGAAGAGTGTTCAGGAAATAACATACGGCTAAACATACGAAATAGGAAATAGGCAAATGCGTGCAAACCGATGTATCCACATCACCCCCTCGTTAAGTCCTTTTGCTCCTGCAAAAGTTACAAGCAATGAGAACGTACAAAGTGTCCATAAGGAATGCAAAGAGTCCGTAAAGCTCGTAAGTCCAGTCAGATAATAAGCGTCCGATAACGCATCAAACGCGTCGGTTGCGGAAGCGCGCCTCATTACGCGCCTTCGCGTCCCGTCGCTGGAGGTCAGCGGACGAATACCAGAGGTCGGGCTCGGGAGCGGAAGGAGTGTAGCGTCGGAGGCGCTCACCGTTGTAGAGGTTGCGCAGGATGTAGCCGTTCCGAGTCCGCAGCTGGTAAGTGTTCCTGTCCGTCACATCGTGAATGATGAACGGTCCGTCCCATCGGGGATGGAGCTTCGTAGGACGTTCGGACTTACGAAGGACGAAGTCCCCGATACCCAGTCCCCTTTCGTGGTACGTATCCTCACGTCTTCTCGCTTCCGTCTCCAGGCGTCGTAGCGCGCGAGCGTTCGCGTCTGCACGGATCTTCTCGAGGTCCTTGACTCGCTCGAGCCTCTCGAACTGCAAGTGTTCGATTTCAGCATCCGTCGGCGGTGCAGTCAAGGTGTCGTGGATCGAGTCGGAAGGTAAGCGGGCGTGTCG